AACCACCTGTGTTTCCCTAACCCTAGAAACCTGGGGATTCCATAACCCTAGCATAACCCTGTATTGCTGGAGCCTATCCAATATACATTTTAAGATATTCAATAAATGTTCATTTTCAGGGAATTCTGAAACCTTGGTACTATCAGCAAAAGGCTGGTCATGGATTCCCACTGAGAAACGTTCTTATGGGCTAGGACAACCCCATACACTCTTAAAGATGGTACATCAGATATTCTTTGGCGGGAAGTTAGTCTTTATTCACTTGGCTCAGGCATCTAGTGTCAGGGCTGGACTTGCTGAGCGAGGACTCAGATGCAGAGCTGGGTTGTAAAAGGAGTTTATTAACAAAAAACGCACTCCAACGGAGTGGGAAGGGGTGGCGCTCCAAACGGAGGAAAAAGTAACAACAGAAATCTCTCCGAAGAGGCAGGAACAAAAGTACAAATCAGGACGGCAAAGTGCAAAGTAAATCTCTCTTTACAGAGGACGAGGCGAAAACAAAGTAACAAAGAAATACTCACTAGTCCAGGGATGCTAGGAGAATAAACTCAAAACCACTCACACAGGAGGCAAAAACGAGGTTCAAGGACGGGGACTATGGACAGGACGAGGGAACTCGGTAACAGGAACTATGACGGGTCAGCAGCTATGGATCGAGAGGCACACGAGACAAAACGCAATTCTCTGGCACGGGACAAGGGGAGACGAAGACTATTTAAACACATGAAGGAAGGGGCCCCAGGTGTACACAATAGGTAATCAGGGAGACGATCGGACTGGTGACACAACAGGAAGTGCAAGTGACCTGAAACGAGATGAGGGTTAGTCTTCAAAATAAAACAGGAAATGACGAGAGGACATAAAGACGAGACGAAAAACCTCAACCAGGGGCACCACCGTGACATCTAGTGAGAATGCCTCCTGGTCACCTCCTTTTTCAGGATTTTTGGGTACATCAATCTGAAAGGGGAACAACCCAGAACAAACTGAAGGGGGTGCATGTCCCATCTGTCCTGGAAACTACCTTATAGAGCAGGTAGATGTGCGTCGACCATCCGCTTGGAGGCCTCTTGGTCGTCTCTTTTTGTGGATTTACGGAGCCTGTCGGCTGGAGGGCCTTTTTTTCTCATTTAGGGCCAAAATACGCAGCTGTGCCTGGTTGGATTCTGAGAACTGACAAAATGGCCAATCATTGCCAATTTTGTATATCCAAATGCTTCAGATGGTTGCAAAGCCCAAAAAAACAGCTTTGGAACGGACTGGCGGTTGATCCCATCTGCATTTAATAGTCGACAGAGTGGATTTTTAGTGATTTCTGGACCCATGTGCAGAGGATGTTATATTTTGGTAATCCATTGCAATGAGGAGTCATTGAGGCACATCATTCAAAAGCTTTAAGAGTTCATTTCACAGATCTGGAACCCAGTCACAGCACTGGTCCACCCCCACTGACCCTTCTTGGTTTCAGAGCTTTGCCGAGAAATAACGCTGCTGGAAATCGTCCCTTTAAAACCAGCCGGTCCCTTTAGACCAGCTGGTTCCTATAAAACCAGACAGTCTCCTTAAAACGATCTGGTCACTTTAAAAGCAGTTGGTCCCTTTAAAACAAGCCATCCCCTTTAAAACCTGATGGTCCCTTTAAAACCAGCTGGAAACCCATGAACAGACAAACGAGTAATTCGACTGGATTAGTGTTTATTAGGATTGACAATTAGAGACATGAGAAACAGAAACACAAATTAAGACTGAGACATGAGTAACAACTTAACAAAATAGCCTAACCCCCCTGGTGAATGACCCACAAGCACCAATTAAATGGGGAAAATGACTAAATATTATATCATTAAGTAACTAATTTACCTACATTTCTTCTGGTTGCTAGATAGCAGCAGTTTCCAGCTACTGGAATGATTTGGAGGTTTATTACAACCAGAAAAGGAAAGCAATGGAGGAAATTCAGTCATAACTCACAGCAAAAGGTGGAGATTTTGTTTCTCTGTGAGTTTACATGATTGTATTTAAAAAAATGTTTTATTAGTAACTTTTCCAGATTACATTTTTAACAGAATTAAGGCACAAACAAGACAAAATGTTTTTATGTTTAGTTCACATTTACACTCATGGATTTAACAGGGACATCTTTTAACTTTTTGCTTCTGAAACTCCATGGAAATTAAATTATTTTTTTCTAAACTAAACATGGATGTGATTTCAGAACTCAGGATACTTTTGAAAAGGATTATCTGTAGTTTAAAATCTTTCCTTTTTGAGCTTCTGAGTTCTGCAGATTTTTTCTGTATTTCTTTTCATCATGATGGTAGAAGAACAGGGGGTTTGGTGGGAGGTTCTTTGGCTCTGATCAAAGGAAAAACGTGTGATAAATGTGTAATTCTGCCCCAGAGTTCTGACTTTGGACAGTGTCTCTGTGAGGAGGGGGCTATCTCCATCTGGGCCCCAGGCCATCACATATTTTCCATCCACTTAGTATTTTTCAGTGTTGACATTGTGTCTTTTTATTTTCTGTACATTGTAAAGACTAAATAAACCTTATGTCAAATGACCACATTTTAGATGGAAATTAATTTATTTGAAGGGCTCTTTACCAGATATCATCGTTATTGGGAATATATTTGTCATTATTTCTGTCATTATTGTGTTCTATAGGATCCCTTGTGCACAATGTGCACAATCCCAATCCTTGGCATATTTTGACTTTTTTTGTAGATTTGGATTTCTAAGTCGAGCCTGAACGTCTCATTGCTTTGTAAAACTAATTTGAACCTTTTGCATCAACACAACAAAGTTTATGACAGAAATCTTTCTGAGTCCCACTGACTCACATAAATGTATTTCTGCAGAACTAAAATCTGCTCTTGGTTCACGTGACCTGTCGATGGAGCAATTCACCATTTGCTTTTGCACTGAGTCCAACATTTCCCTCCGCTAAACATTTTGCATATGAAAGCTGCGGATCTCTTTGGACTGCAGGCCGTAGATGATGGGGTTGAGGTCCCCTGGCACAATGACAAACAGAATGGCAGACAGCTTCCTGTAGTCAGAGTATTCTGGGAAGCGGTGCAGGATGACAATGGTGTAACCGCTGATCGACATGATCAGATACACAACCAGGTGGGTGCTGCAGGTCTTCAAGGCTTTGCTGTTCAGGGACTTGCTCTTACTGGCCAGACAAACTCCTGTGATGAAGTCCGCTGTGAGAGGCCTGCTAACGACAAGCTAACCAACAGTTTCTGATGGTAATTAGTCCTCTGGGAGGAGAAGGCAGGCCCAGTGGTGGCTGGTCATCAGTAATGAAGCTGCTGGGACCCGCATGTACCCACATCTGGGTTCTCTGGAACCACAACAGGGAGAGTCCACTGATGCCACCAGGGTGGAAGTTTCAGGCTCAAAGGATACTTCATGAATAAAGTGTAACAGAAGACTATTTGCTTGCCAATAAACTCCCATTCAGAATGTAGGTGTTGCCTTTTCTGTCCCCATCTCCTGGTTTCTCTCTGGTCAGAAACTCCTGAACCAGCCCCACCTACCAAGAACTGGTTCTCACAGAGCAGCTGGTCTAGACTGAAGTGGACTCAGATCACTGCACATGAGAAAGAAGCAAAGAACCATAAAAACTAAAATCCAACAGGCCGGCCAGATAGGAGCAGGCTGCAGACAGGAGGCCCTCATGTCCCACTCACCCTCAACCCCTCCCAAAAAACACTAATTCTATTAAACTCCTGGTCACTGGAACACAGGGGCTCATCAGCACTACAACCAGCAACACAAGCAGAGTCCCAATGCACAATCTGACGCTCAGACGCACAATCTGAGGCCCAGATGTACAAACTGAGGCTGAGACGCACAAACTAGGGCTCAGATGCACACATTTCACAAACACAACTCACAACTTTTTTCAGGGATTTGTTGTAGAGAGGAGAATCATCTAGAGGCTGCTCCCACTGATGACTGTTAAGGTTGATGAAACAGATCCACAGACACACAACATCCAGCTGCCTAATTACAGAAGCTGAGTTTGGACAAAGTTGTTGATGAGTTCTCCCTGAAAAAAAACAACTCATCCTCAAAAACTCAGTTTATGTATCTTTATCTTTATGCGGAACCATCTCAAAGGTACAAAACACCAACTGAGCCTGACAGAGACTGAAACACAGCTCTGGTAACATTTCAGATAATGAAGTAGATTCTTTAAACAAAAATAAATCGAGGAATATAGTTAAAAATATAAGAAAGACAAAAACAAACAAAAAAGTGGTCTAGTTGAAAGACTTAGTGCTTCGGAGATTACAGTGCCAGGCTGGAATTTGTAATATAAAATTAGCTAAGACCCTCTTAAAGCCCTATTTCACCACTCTCCCACTCCGTTCCTCCAAGGAGCGCCAGATAACCCGGCCAACAATATGTCCATCTATCCATCATCCACTTATTCCTTAGTGGCGTCGTGGGGGGACTGCAGCCTATCCCAGTGTTCAATGGGCGAAAGCCTGGACGGTGCCAACATTACAGCACAGTCAATCTGGACTTTTCTCACCTGTGGTTCCACGCTGGTGGAATGACATTAAAAGCACTCTCAGAGCATCATATTTTCTTTCTTCCTTCAAAAAATCCTTGAAGACCCAGCTAGTCTGAGAGTATCTCTTGTCCTGAAAGCTCATAAATGCACTTATTTCCTAATACCATATAGCACTCAATGTATGGTACTTGTGTAATCTATGCAATAGTTGAACATAAAATCCTCAATGTTAGATCTTCTTCTAGCACGTTGCACTCAAGATAAGGTAAGTGTGTAACTGGTATTGTGGGTGAATGTTAATCCCTCTTTTTGTAAGTCGCTTTGGATGAAAGCATATGCATAAATGCATAAATTTAAATGTTACCGGGCCAAACCATGTGTTTGATGGAAAAGAGCCATGAAGCCCCTCGGAGTGTGAATATGACCCTACAGAAAGAGAATAAAAGTCTGAGTTTGAAAGTATTGATTATCACTTTCCTCCAATTGCTGCTTTGCAACCACTGGTGAGGCCAACCATGGTGACGGCCATGACACCCTGTGGGTGGATAAGAGCCAACAGGGTTCTTCAAATTGTTGCAGATCGCCCCACCTGCTGCAGTATGTGTTAACCTGAGCTAGCCGGGAGCACTGCATATTGGCTTTCCACATCGTCCAGTGCTGTCAGAGAACGTGTATGCTGCTCCCACCAACACATTCATGCTGTTTGATCATCGTCTTCTGAGTCGCAGATTCACCACTTTCTTTTGGGTCTTTGCTTGTTGTTTCAGGCTCATGGAAAACTACACCTACAACAGCGCTACGCTCCAGCTGGAGGGCTTACAGGTCCCAGAGGAGTCCAAGTTCACTGTGTTTTCCTTCTTTTTAATTTCATACGCTGTGTTTATGATCATGAACTTGGGCATTTTGGTTATAATTTTCATTGACAGGAACCTGCACCAGCCCATGTACATCCTATTCTGTAACCTCACAGTCAGCGATATCATGGGCAGCAGCAACATTTTACCGCTGCTGCTCTCAGACCTGCTGCTGCCCCCCTCTGAGCGGCTCATTGGCTACTATGCCTGCGTAGTCCAGGCCTTCACCACACAAATGTTCGGCACTGCCTCCCACACCATGCTGATGGTCATGGCCTTCGACAGGTATGTGGCCATCTGCAAGCCCCTCCACTACACCTCCATCATGACCAGCAGGATGATCATCAAGCTGACTGCCTCTGCCTGGGGGGTGTCCTTCTTCTTGGTTGGGGTCCTACTGGGTCTAACCATCCGCTTAAACCTGTGCAGGACTCTGATCAAAAACCCCTTCTGTGACAACGCCTCCCTGTTCAAACTGTCCTGTGAGAGCGTGCTGGTTAACAATGTGTATGGCCTCACTTACACTGTGGTCCTCTACATAGCCTCCATCGGCAGCATGGTGCTCACCTACAGTAGGATTACCACAGTGTGTCTAACCAGTAAGAACAAGTCTCTAAACAGCAAAGCCCTGAAGACCTGCAGCACCCATCTGGTTGTGTACCTGATCATGTCACTGTGTGGATTCACTACTATAGCGTTGCATCGAGTCCCTGAGTACTCTGACTACAAAAAGATCTCTTCTATTCTGTTTGTCATCGTGCCTGGGGGGCTCAACCCCATCATCTATGGTGTTCAATCCAAAGAGATCCGGCAGTTCTTTTTTAAACTCTTTCATTACAGAAAATGTTTGCCACCAAGACAAAGTGACTGGCGAAAAAAGTTCAACTCCTGAAAAAAGCAGTGAAAACAAATGAAAACTGAGCCTTTCTTCCTGTTTCCAAAGAGTGACTAATTCATTTAAGTTTGTTTGTGTATGATTTAAATGTTGATGTACACTAAAGGCCAAAATTAGTCCAAAATAAAAGGAAAGTTTTATACATTTTTTGATAAACTAATGTACAAATGTAAACAGCTGTTTATATTAAAATAAAAAGAAAACTCCTACTGACTCTAACCTTTCCATATATGATTGGGTAAAACAGCCTAGACCATTTATATTCATCAATACTCTAGTCCTGAGTCCAGGTTCTCTGAAGGAGAGCATTGATTTCATGAGGAACTTTCCACCAGTGTGATTGTTTGATCTCGCCAGACATACAAAATGCTGTGAAGGTGTGAATTTGTGAACATGCTAGTTGTTTTGGTTGCAAATTGAATATCATTGCAGATACTTCACTTCACTTCACTTTATTTTGGTAAATTTGGTAAATTGTCCACATTAAACACAAGAAACAACAAAAGAAAAAAGAAAATAACAATAGACAAACCCACAGTTTACCAAAAAAGGAATAGGCCTTACAACCAGGATTTCTACAAATTCAGATTACATAGTACATAGTACAAATATAGATCTACTTAAGAACGTAAGATTTTATCATATTACATTTTAAAGCTCTTTTAAAGTTCACCAAAAAAGGACATAACTTAAATTCATCATTTAATTCATTCCACAGTTTCACACCAATAACTGAAACACATCTAGACTTTATCTGACTTTTTTCTTTTGCACATTCAAATATAAACAAACCTCGCAAATTATATTTATTTTCTCTTAACTTAAATAATTTTTGAATACCAGAAGGAAGACTTCTATTCAATGCTTTATACATTATTTCCAGTATTTTTATATAAACAATATCTTTAAATTTTAATATTTTACTTTGAATAAAGAGTTTATCAGTTGGTTCACGGTAACCCACCTTATTTATAACCCTTATAGCTTTTTTTTGCAACTTAACTAATATATCAATAGTTGTTTTATTTGCATTTCCCCAGATTTCTGAACAATAAGACAAATAAGGCATAACCAAAGAGGAATATATAACATGCAAGCCTTTAACATTTATTAAGTCTTTTATTTTAAACAGTATTCCAATAGTTTTTGCAACTTTATTTCTAATATATCCTATGTGAGGCTTCCAACTAAGTTTATTATCTATAATAATCCCTAAAAATTTTGTCTCATAAACTCTTTCGATTTCAACTCCATTTATGCATAACTTTACATTATTATAGTTCCGATTGCCAGAGAAAACCATGAATTTAGTTTTTCCTTCATTTAACAATAACTTATTGTAATCAAACCATGTTTTCAACTCAGCTAACTCTTTTTCTACTGTTTTTATAATTTCATCCATATTTTTTCCAGAAAAAAAGAAATTTGTATCGTCTGCAAACATTATAAACTTTAACAGACTGGATACTGCAAAAATATCATTTAGATAAAGTATAAATAATTTAGGTCCTAGGACTGAGCCTTGAGGAAGACCACATTTTACCATGTCTGTCTGTGACTTAGTGTTGTTAATTTGTACATATTGTAATCTATTACCCAAATAACTCTTTAACCACTGATATGCAACTCCCCGTAAGCCATACAGTTCACATTTACCCAATAGTCTTGCGTGGTCAATAGTATCAAAAGCCTTGCATAGGTCAACAAACACACCTACGGTATTAAGCTTCTGATCAACTGCTGCTGCAATGTGCTCCACAAACTCCATCACAGCTAAAGTTGTGGAGCAGTTGTGCCTGAAGCCGTACTGGTGCTCGTTCAATATATTATTTTTATTGAGAAAGGAATCCAGTCTTTTCATAAATAATTTTTCCAAAATTTTTGAAAATTGTGGTAGCAATGATATCGGCCTGTAATTTGTTAATATTTGATTGTCTCCACTTTTATGAACGGGAAAAACCTTTGCTATTTTCATTTTGTCAGGAAAGGTTCCAGTTAAGAATGATCTATTACAGATGTAGGTGAGAGGTTTAATAATACTATAAATGACCTCTTTCACAACAGCCATGTCAATATCATTACAATCTTTGGATTTCTTATTTTTAAATTTTTTAACTACATCTATTACCTCACTTTCACTCACTTCTCCCAGGAACATTGTATTAATATTATTAAATTTATAATTATGTTTTCCATCTCTACCCATTGGCAATTTGCTTACTAAATTAGGACCGATATTAACAAAGTACTTATTAAAGACTTCAACAATATCCTCCTTTTTTTCCACTATTGTGTTGTTGTGTTTAATACTTATTGAGAAATCTCTATCTTTATTGTTTTTAATAATACTATTAATTGTATTCCATGTACCCTTAATATCATTGCAATATTTTTGCAACAACCTATCATAATAATCCTGCTTTTGCTTTCTCAGCACTGATGTTAACTTATTTTTATATACTTTATATTTTCCTTCTTTTTCATGAGTTGGGCACTTAATGAAATCTTTATATAACTTGTTTTTCTTTTTACATGCCTTCTCCAAACTCTTTGTCATCCAGGGAGTCAATCTATTTTTGGATGTTTGTTTATATTCTTTAAGGGGACAATAATGATTGTAAATTTTCATAAATATTTCCAAAAACATATTATATGACTCATTAACATCATCAACATAAACATTTTGCCAATTATAATTAAAAAATTCTACTTTCATTTCTTCCACAGCTTCAGGTGATTTTACTCTAACTAAATTGATAATTTCCTTTGTCATATTTAAATTGGACTGATTACTAATGTCAAGCATAGTGAACACAGGCAAATGATCAGTTATGTCAGTGACTAACAATCCACTTTTTGTTTTCACATTGAACTTATTTATAAAAATGTTATCAATCAATGACGCACTGTCTTTAGTTATTCGTGTAGGTCTTAGGATCAACGGATAAAACCCTAAACCAAACATTGTATTTATAAATTCTGTCGTATTAGTATGCTCATTATATTTCAACAAATCAATGTTAAAATCTCCACAAATAAAAGTAAATTTTTCATTGAGCCCTTCATATGTCTCTAATACTTTCTTACTAAACTCATCTATAGATGAGCCAGGAGTTCGATAAACACAACTAATTAACATATGGCCAGGTCTATTACCCTCAATTTTGACAGATAAACATTCCATCAAGTTATCAACTGAAAATGTCATTTTAGCAATAACCGTACATGTCAATCCAGACCTTACAAACAGTGCGACACCACCTCCCCTCTTGTTTAACCTATTCTGACTAAACATTTGATATCCATCTAAACTATCCAGCAGACTTTTTTCCTCAGTAATCCAGGTTTCTGAAATTGCTACCACACTAAATTTCTCATCAAATTTTTCCAGGTAGCTTTTTATCTGAGAGAAATTACTATACATACTCCTACTATTAAAATGAATTATTGAAAAGCCCCCTAGCCCCACATTTATACTGTCTTCAGAGTAATATTCACAATGCTGTTTAGTATTATAACTGAAGTTGGATTCTGGGTCTATATCAGTTTCTATATCATAAAATTTATGTTCTGTAGGATCAAAACACTTAAATTCCATTCTTTGACTCATGACTAAATAATATATTCTTCACTTCATCAATCTGTTCAAAACCAGAAAAGCAAAAAAACATAAAAAACTGTAGCCCCAGCAGTACCAAGTCAAAACTGTTCTGTTCACCTATATTTCTCCAGCTCCACAACATTTTTAATAGTTAGAACCTTAGCTTGCTCAGGAGAACCATTAAGTTTAATCAGTATCTTACAATTCCTAGTCCATGTTGCCTGTATTTTTTTCTCCTTCTTCAACTTCCTAGCTTGGTAAGCAATCTCTGCATTCTTCTTTGTGAGATGTTCATTCACAAACACATTTGTTCCCATTAGTTTTTTTACATCTTTTAGCAATTCAATTTTGTGTTTTGTACTCACAAACCGGAGGATGATATTTGGTCTTTTTTTCCTTTTATCCATGTTTGTGTTTGGTTTGTAGGGGATTGTATAACAAGCAGCAATGGTTTTACTGTCCAGCAAAATCCCTTTGCTGCTGAAGAACTTGATGACTTGCTGCTCAACAGAAAGTAGTTCATCTGGTGGTGCATCTTCCCCTTTATTGTCTTCTGCTGTTGCCCTTGCATATGTAAGGTGTGTTGTTTTGAGTCCAGATATCACCACATCCTCCTTTCTTGCAGACTGTTCCAGGTCCTCCACTCTTTTTTCCAACTCTTCTATCTTCTCATCCTTTTCTTTAATAATTACTTTCAGTTGTTGAATTTCTCCAATCAAACGCATCAGGCTTGTTTGTTGCTTCACCACCTTACTCAGTTCTTCTGACATAACATTCAATGACAGCTTAAGTTCTTCCATATCTTTTGTTAAACTTGGAGCCATTTTGCTACTTGCCAGCTGTTGAGAATCCTGGTAGAATCCTGGTAGTTAACGAGGCCTTTGTTGGTTGTTCAAGCACATGTAGTAAAAAGTGCTTAACATTGAGAAAAAAATGGCAGAAATAGCCCTACAAGTCCAAACATTGGTTGAATATCAAAGTACAAAACTTCAACATTTGCTTGGATGTTGAGTTATATTTCAGATATTCAATAGATTTCACTTAAATGCAGGACAGATCCACACACTCCCTCCTAGCCAGCGGCCATCTTTTTACACACCTACACACAGTTCAGTTGTTTTCAATGAAAAATCTCTTTTTTAAAAAGCCCTTCCAGGCCTGGAGGCAGCAATTCCCAGTCCAGCGTCTTGCAGTGGTCAATAGATGTTTCCACCGCTTGACCGAGTGTTTCTTAAAGATCGTTAGTCCTTTTCGTTTTGCAGTGCGCAGCTCCTGGGGCAGCCAGCCTTCCCTACTACGCTCCCTCAGTCAGCAGCTCTGATGCTTTTTCCCCATCAGATGTTTGACAAAAAGATTCACAGGAGATGTGTTCAATTTTAAATCAGATATTTTGGGGTGACAACTTCCTCAAAACAGAGTCTGTCACAGGTGGGAAAAGTCCATTCTGAGTCCAGGGAGGATTGTTAAAGGTAATGAAAACACACCACAGGAAATAAACTCTATTGATCTTAGCCAAAACAATACTGTGGGATCTAAATGTGGCATTAGTGTCATGAGCTCTCTGCTTGGGCTGATTGCCTGCACCTGTCTCTGCTCTGCTCCCGTCAACCTGCCAGCAGCTGTGCATTTCCTGATTACCACCTCTGTATATAAGGCCCAGTTTTTCACTCAACACTTGTCAGATCGTCTGCAAGCCTGCATCAGTAACCTGCCTGTCTGTCTTTGACTCTGACTCCCTCATGTGATCCGGGACTGAGATCCCTACTTCCTGTCTCCTGAACCTTAATAAACCTTTGGACTAAACTGTGCTATTGGGTCCTCCTCTGTCCGCACTGACAGAACGATCTGACCAGACATGGACCCAGCGCATGTTCAACCCAGCATGGAGACCAATGAACCAGAACAACCCACTGCCATGCAACGCCTTGAACAAACAGGGCGACAGGTGAAACGGATGGCTGGCGACATGGCCTCCATGCTTCAGGATGGTCGTCAACAGCAGTTCCAGGAGCAACAGCAACAAATTCAGCAGCAGCAACAACAACAACTTGCCATGATAATTCAACTCCTCACCAACCTTACCCCCCCGTCTGCTCCCATCGGACCAGTTCCAGCTAGTCTGCCCACCAGCTCTGTTCCAGCCAGTCCACCCAGCAGCCCAGCCTCAGTCAGTCCGCCTGTCGACCAAGCTCCAGCCACTTTTTCTTTCGGCCCAGCTCCCGAGTCATCAGTTCTGGTCATGGCCGCTGCTGCTTGAGCCCCTGAACCCAAGATTGGCAATCCAGAGCGGTTCAACGGCGATCCAACCCAGGTACGGGCGTTCCTGACGAGCTGCCGTGTCCAGTTTTCCCTGCAACCCAGAACCTTTGCCACTGAAGGGGCTAAAGTGGGCTATGTGATTACACACCTGATGGGACGAGCTCGACTGTGGGGAACGGCAGAGTTCGATTGCCAGACGCCTGCGTGTGCAACCTTTAACCAATTTTCCAAAAAATTGCTCAAGGTCTTCGACTTGCAGTCCACAACAACTGACGCATTACAGACTCTGATGTGCATTCGCCAAGGACGGAGGACAGTGGCAAATTATTCAATTGATTTTAGAACCGTGGCGAGTCGGAGATCCTGGAATATGGAAGCATTGGTGGATGCCTTCCTCCACAGTCTGGCAGACTACATTAAGGATGAACTGGTTGCCCATGATCAACCCTCCACCCTCGATGAAGCCATTGCCCTGGCTGTCCAAATCGACCATAGAATCCAGGCCCGCCGTCGTGTGAGAGGGCTACAGTCCATCCATCAGCGCACGGAGTGATTCAACTGCTCTTCCATCTTCCTCTGCCACAAGATCTAACCAGCTAGACCAGTCTGAACCGATGGAAATCGGCCGTACCTTCTTAACACCTGCTGTACACCAGCGACGCATCACGTCCTACCTGTGCCTGTACTGTGGCGGAGATGGACATCGTGTCACCACCTGTCCAGCAAAAGCCAATGAACTTTCAGTCCTCCGTCAGTCGTAAACTCCTGATCCAAGTCGGCCTTCACATGTCTAATACAACCCACACTCTGGCATCCCTGGTGGACTATGGCGCCGAAGCAAACTTCATGGACATTGAACTTGCTCGTCAGTTGGGCGTAAACAGCCACCATTTGTCCGCTCCCGTTCCAGTCCGGGCCCTGGACGGTCACATGCTCGGTACCGTTACCCGCATCACAGTCCCCATCTCTATGTTGTCGTCAGGCAACCACCAAGAGACCATCCGCTTCCACCTGCTCAGCTCTCCAGGCCAAACTCTGATCCTGGGGTACCCATGGCTCCGTCTCCACAATCCCCACCTCGACTGGGTCTCCGGGACTGTCAAGGAGTGGGGAAATGACTGCCACTTGACCTGTGCGTGCTGGCTCATTGCCCCCCAGCTCAGTGCCTCCCAGTACCGCTCCTGACATTTTTAATGTCCCAGAATGCTACCATAGCGTCCGGGAAGTGTTCAACAAAACCCCCACACCGTCCGTACGACTGTGCTATTGATCTCCTCCCCGGTACTGCTTCTCCCAAGGGTCACCTCTACTCACTGTCTTCCACTGAAAGAAAGGCCATGGAGGACTATGTCAGGGATTCCCTCGCAGCTGGGATCATCCGCCCGTCTTCGTCTCCAGCTGGTGCCGGGTTCTTCTTTGTGGGAAAGAAGGATGGTTCTCTTCGTCCCTGCATTGATTACTGAGGTCTGAACTACATCACGGTGACGAACCGGGACCCTCTGCCTTTACTCACCTCGGCTTTTGAGATGCTCCAGGGATCCACAATCTTCACCAAACTGGACCTTAGAAATGTGTACCACTTAGTGCGCATACGAGAAGGTGACGAGTGGAAAACCGCATTCAACACCCACACGGGTCACTACGAGTACCTGGTTATGCCATTTGGCCTCACTAACGCTCCAGGGGTGTTCCAGGCTCTGGTGAACGACGTGTTGCGAGAAATGCTGAATAAATGTGTTTTTGTGTACCTGGACGACATCTTGATTTTCTCCAAAACTCTGGCTGAACACATTCGTCATGTCCAGTTGGTCCTCCGTCGCCTGCTGGAGAACTTGCTCTATGTCAAAGCAGAGAAGTGAGAGTTCCATGCTCGGACTGTGTCATTCCTGGGATACATTATGGGAGAAGGAAATATCCAGATGGACCCCGCAAAGGTTTCCGCGGTCACTTCCTGGCCAGTTCCGGAAAACAGGAAGAAATTGCAGCAGTTCCTTGGCTTCGCCAATTTCTACAGGAGATTCATCTGGAACTACAGCACAGTCGCCGCTCCCCTCACCGCTTTGACCAGTATCAAACACCATTTTGTCTGGACCCCAGAGGCTAACAAAGATTTTCAAATCCTCAAAACCCGCTTCACCACTGCTCCCATCCTTCAGATGCCAGATACAGACCGGCAGTTTTTCCTAGGGGTGAATGCCTCGGATGTGGGGGTTGGGGCCGTACTCTCCCAACGAGCAGTGCAGGACAACAAGCTGCACCCTTTTCTCGCCGACTTTCACCCGCAGAGTGCAATTATTATGTCGGGAATCGTGAGCTGTTGGCTGTCAAGCTTGCCCTGGAGGAGTGGCGTCACTGGTTGGAGGGGTCCACAGTTCCTTTCCTGGTCTGGACTGATCACAAAAACCTGGAATACATCCGCAGTGCCAAGCGTCTTAACCCCAGAAAATCCCGCTGGGCCCTGTTTTTCACCAGATTCAACTTCACCTTATCATACCGTCCTGGTTCACGTAACACCAAGCCAGATGCTCTCTCCCGCCAGTTCCAGAAGGGTGACGCCCCATCCCAGGAACCTGCATCCATTCTGCCCGGTCCCTTCATCGTAGCTGCCCTGACCTGGGATGTTGAGAAAGAGGTCCAAAAGGCCCTCGGTGATCAACCAGGCCCCAGCGCATGCCCTGATGGCCGTCTCTTCGTCCCAGAGAACTTGAGATCCCGGGTCATACAGTGGGGCCTTGCTTGCCAACCGAGTTCCGCACCTGCCATCTCCTTGCTCAGCAGTTCTGGTGGCCTTCCTTGAGAGGGGATGTCACGGAATTTGTCCGTGCTTGCCCCACCTGCAATCAGAACAAGTCCTCCAACCAGCCACCTGCTGGACTACTCCAGCCCCTGCCTGTGCCCACACGACCTTGGTCCCACATTTCACTGGACTTTGTGACAGGCCTGCCCCCATCGGATGGAATGACTGTCATTCTCACTGTGGTTGACCGGTTCAGCAAGATGGCACATTTTATTCCCCTTCCGAAGCTGCCATCTGCCAGAGAGACGGCCCAGGTTGTTATGGATCATGTGTTCCGCCTACACGGGTTACCCAGGGATGTCGTCTGAGACAAAGGGCCCCAATTCACTTCCACATTCTGGAAAGAGTTCTGCCATCATCTAGGGGCCACGGCCAGCCTCACTTCTGGTTTCCATCCCCAGTCCAAAGGCCAGTCAGAGCGGGCAAACCAAGAGCTGGAGAAGGCACTCCGATGCATGGTATCTTGTAAACCCCAGGCTTGGGCACAACAACTGACATGGATAGAGTACGCCCATAACTCCCTCACCTGCTCTGCCACGGGTATGTCACCTTTCCAGTGTGTATATGGATACCAACCCCCTCTGTTTTCCATCCAGGAAGGAGAGGTGTCCTGCCCATCTGCCCTCGCCTGTGTTAGCCGGTGCCGCCGCATCTGGTCTCAAGCCCGTGCCACACTATTAAAGTTAGCCACCAGCTATGCCACTGGGGCTAACCGTCCGAGGACGCCAGCACCCACTTACCGCATTGGCCAGAAGGTATGGTTGTCAGCCAAGGAACTGCCGCTGCGGGTTGAATCACGCAAGCTGGCCCCTCAGTTCCTGGGCCCATTCTCTATCCAGAGGGTCATCAGTCCAACAGCGGTCCGGCTCCAGTTGCCAGCTTCCATGAGGGTACATCCGACTTTCCACATTTCGAAAGTCAAACCAGTGCACGTAACCCCGCTGGTTCCAGCTACACCTCCTCCTCCTGGTCTCATTGACGGTGGGCTGGTGTACACCGACCGACGCCTGCTTCGGTCCAGACGGAGAGGTAGGGGACTCGTTGACTGGGAGGGCTATGGACCTGAGGAGAGAACCTGGGTTCCGGCCAGTCGAATTATTGACCGGACCCTCATCACCGAGTTCCACCGCCTTCATCCGGACCAACCTGCCACCCAAAGAGGTCGTCCAAAGGGGTCCCGTCACGCCTCAAGCTCAGCCCCTGACCCTGTGTCTGACTCGGATTCTGATCTAGAGCTTGCCCCTGATGGCGTCTCACAGGTCCCTTTGGAGGATGGGGCCATGGAGTCGGATCATTCAGATGAGTATTGAACCTCCACTGGCTCCCTCTCCGCCAATGTGATGTCGTTTTGGAGACTTCTGGGGCCGTCCCTTCAGAATCAGAATCAGAATCAGAATCAGGTTTATTGCCAAGTAGGTTTTCAGACTTACAAGGAATTTGCCTTGGTGTTTAGTGCACAACACAACACTTCTATGAGAAGCAAGAATAAAAAGTAAAAATAAAGATATAGGGCAGAATGATAAAACTGAAAAATACAATCTTTAAAAGTATAAATCTGAATGTACAAATTAACAATCTTTAAAAATATAGATTTGAATGTGCAAATTAACAGTTGAAATGTGCAATGTTGATCTGCAACGACAGACCAGAAAATGCTGGAGCATTGGGTAAATTAGTGAGGTAGAGGGGGGGGGGGAGAAGAATAGGTGGGGGTCGCTGGTCTTGTTGATGAGGCCAGTTGCTGTTGGATAAAAACTGTCTTTATGGCGTGAGGTTTTGGTCCTGATGGTCCTCAACCTTCTGCCAGAGGGGAGAGTTTTAAAGAGTTTGTGACCAGGGTGAGAAGGATCAAACATGATCCTTCCTGCACGCCTTAAAGTCCTGGAGGCGTACAGGTCCTGAAGGGATGGCAGATCACAGCCAATCACCTTCTCGGCTGAGCGAATGATACGCTGCAGCCTTGTCCTTAGCGGTGGCAGCAGCGTACCAGATGGAGATGGAGGAGGTGAGGATAGACTCAATGATGGCTGTGTAGAAGTGCACCATCATTGCCTTGGGCAGGTTGAACTTCTTCAGCTGCCGCAGGAAGAACATCCTCTGCTGTGCTTTCTTTGTGAGGGATCTGATGTTCAGCTCCCACTTGAGGTCCTGGGTTATTGTGATCCCCAGGAAACAGAAGGACTCCACAGAAGCAATTGTGGAGCCACACAGAGTGATGGGAGCAGGTGGTGCTGTGTTCTTCCTGAAGTCTACAACCATCTCCTCTGTCTTGAGCGCGTTGAGCTCCAGGTTGTTGGCTGCACACCAGGACACCAGACGGTCGATCTCCCACCTGTAGGCGGACTCGTCCCCATTTGAGATGAGTCCGATGAGGGTCGTGTCATCCGCATACTTCAGGAGCTTGACAGACTGGTGGCTGGAGGTGCAGCTGTTGGTGTACAGGGAGAAGAGTAGGGGGGAGAGAACACAGCCCTGGGGGGATCCAGTGCTGATGGTCCGGCTGTTGGAGGTGTGGCTTCCCAGCCTCACATGCTGCCTCCTGTCAGATAGGAAGTCGGTGATCCATCTGCAGGTGGGGTCAGGCACACCCAGCTGGGAGAGCTTGTCCTGGAGTAGAGGGGGGATGATGGTGTTGAAGGCGGAGCTAAAATCCACAAACAGGATCCTGGCGTAGGTGGCCGGGGAGTCCAGGTGCTGGAGGATGAAGTGGAGAGCCAGGTTGACAGCGTCATCTACAGACCTGTTGGCTCTGTAGGCAAACTGCAGTGGGTCCAGGTGTGGGTCTGAGATGTCTTTCAGGTGGGCAAGGACAAGGCGCTCAAATACCTTCATCACCACGGAGGTCAGGGCGACAGGTCTGTAGTCATTGAGGCCTGAAATCTTTGGTTTTTTGGGGACGGGGATGATGGTGGAGGTTTTGAAGCAGGCGGGCACATGGCATGTCTCCAGCGAGGTGTTGAAGATGTCAGTGAACACAGGAGACAGCTGGTCTGCGCAGTGCTTCAGGATGCTAGGAGAGATAGAGTCGGGTCCAGCTGCTTTGCGTGGTTTTTGTTTCCTGAATAGACTGGATACGTCCCTCTCCTGGATGGAGAGAGTCATGGTAGTTGACGGAAGGGGGTCCTTCAATGTGGGCAGTTGAGGGTGGGGGCAGGCCCCCGCTGAGGTGGGGATGGGGGTGCAGGAGGGCAGGGGCTGGTGGTGGCGGGGGATGGTGTTGATGTTAGGACTGTCCCATTGTCTTTCAAATCTGCAATAGAAGTCGTTCAGCTCGTTTGCCAGACGCAGGTCGTTGACAGAGTGGGGGGATTTAGGTTTGTAGTTGGTGATCTGCCTGAGCCCCTTCCAGACAGATGCAGAGTCGTTGGCTGAGAACTGTTTTTTGAGATTCTCAGAGTACAGCCGTTTAGCGTCCCTCACCGCCTTGCTAAACCTGTACTTTGACTCCTTAAACCTGTCCCTGTCCCCGCTCCTGAATGCCTCTTCCTTCTGCAGCCTCAGCTGTCTGAGTTTAGGACTGAACCAGGGTTTGTCATTGTTGTAGCTCACCCTGGTGCGTGATGGTATGCAGCAGTCCTCACAGAAACTGATATAAGAAGTCACAGTCTCTGTGTACTCATCCAGACTGGTGGTGGCAGTCCTGAAAACATCCCAGTCAGTAGTCTCCAAACACGCCTTAAGATCCTCCACAGCCTCACTGCTCCACTGCTTTGATGTCCTCACAGCTGGTTTACAGAGTTTGAGTTTCTGTCTGTAAGAGGGGGGGTCCTGTCATGAGCTCTCTGCTCGGGCTGATTGCCTGCACCTCTGCATTTCCTGATTACCACCTCCGTATATAAGGCCCAGTTTTACACTCCACACTTGTCAGATTGTCTGCAAGCCTGCATCAGTAACCTGCCTGTCTGTCTTTGACTCGGACTCCCACCTGTGATCCGGGACCCAGATCCCTACTTCCTGTCTCCTGAACCTTAATAAACCTTTTGACTAAACTGTGCTATTGGGTCCTCCTCTGTCCGCACTGACAACTAGACCACCTTAGCCTCAAGGCCAATGACTGGTTTTACTGACGCACCCTTAGAGTTAAGGACAAGTCACGCTGCCGCAGCTGTAGCCTAATTACAGCGGGCGGACCATATGCGGAGCTTCCGCTCGCAAGCGGGCGGCCGGGGTTCGAATCCTGCCCATGGCCCTTTCCCGCAGGTCTCCCCCTCTCTGTCTCTGCCCCCCTTCCTGTCCAGCTACTATCATTAAAGGCCACTAGAGCCAACAAAATCTAAAAAAAAAGGACAAGTCAGGCTGAGAGGGGTCAAGACCAAGAGCCACTAATCATACCCCTAACTCTAGCCACCTGGGGATTCCCTAACTCTAGAAACCTGGGGGTTCCATAACCCTAGCATAACCCTGTATTGCTGGAGCCTATCTAATATAAATTATAAGATATTTAATAAACTTTTATTTTCGGGGAATTCTGAAACCTTGGTACTATCAGTAAAAGGCTGGTCATTGATTCCCACTGAGAAACGTTCTTATGGGCTAGGACAACCCCCAACACTCTTATAGATGATACATAAGATATTCTTTGGCGGGAAGTTAGTCTTTATTCACTTGGCTCAGGCATCTAGTGAGAATGCCTCCTGGTCACCTCCTTTTTCAGGATTTTTGGGTACATCAATCTGAAAGGGGACCAACCCAGAACAAACTGAAGGGGGTGCATGTCCCATCTGTCCTGGAAACTGCCTTATAGAGCAGGTGGATATGCGTCGACCATCCGCTTGGGAGGCCTCTTGGTCATCTCTTTTTGGGGATTTACCGAGCATGTTGGCTCGAGAGCCTTCTTTCCTCAATTAGGGCTAAAATACGCAGCTGTCCCTGGTTGGATTCTTTGAACTGGGCAGTCAATTCAGGAGGTGGTAAATGGACAAAATGGCCAATCAATGTCAATTTTGTATATCCAAATGCTTGCAAATGCAAATGCTTTGGAACGGACTGGCGGTTGATCCCATCTGCATTCAGTCGACAGAGTGGATTTTTTCTGGACTTTCTGGACTCATGTGCAGAGGATGTTAGATTTTGGAAATCCATTGCAATGAGGAGTCATTGAGGCACATCATTCAAAATCTTTCAGAGTTCATCTCACAGATCTGGAACCCAGTGACAGCACTGGTCACCCCCCACTGACCCTTCTTGGTTTGAGAGCTTTGCCGAGAAATAACGCTTGTGAAAATCGTCCCTTTAAGACCAGCCGGCCCCTTTAGACCAGCTGGTTCCTATAAAAAGAGCCATCCCCTTTAAATCCTGATGGTCCCTTTAAAACCAGCTGGAAACCCGTGAACACACAAAAGAGTAAATCAACTGGATTAGTGTTTATTTGGATTGCTAATTAGAGACATGAGAAACAGAAACACAAATTAAGACTGAGACATGATAAGACAACTTAACAAAATAGCCTGACCCCCCTGGTGAATGACCCACAAGCACCAATTAAATGGAGAAAAATGATAGAATATCATATCATTAAGCAACTAATTTACCAAAATTTCTTCTGGTTGCTAGAAAAACAGCAGCTTCCAGTTACTGGAAAAATTTGGAGGTTTACTACAACCAGAAAAGGAAAGCAAAGGTGGAAATTCAGTCATAACTCACAGCAAAAGGTGGAGATTTTGCTTCTCAGTGCGTTTATATGATTGTATTTAAAAAACAGTTTTATTAGTAACTTTTGCAGATTACAATTTTAACAGAATTAAGACAAAAACAACACAACATGTTTTTATGTTTAGATCACATTTACACTCATGGAGTTAACAGGGACATTTTAACTTTTTTCTTCTGAAACTCCATGGAAATTAAATTATTTTTTTCTAAACTAAATATGGAAGGGATTTCAGAACTCAGGATACTTTCAAAGAGGATTATCTGTAGTTTAAAGTATTTCCTCGTTGAACTTTCATGCAAAACTTACTTATATTTCTTCAGATTTTTTCTGTATATCTTTTCATCATGATGGTAGAAGAATGGGGGGTTTGGTGGGAGGTTCTTAGGCTCTGATCAAAGGAAAAACATGTAGTAAATGTGTCTTTGGACAGTGTCTCTGTGAGGAGGGGGCTATCTCCACCTGGGTCCCCAGCCATCACATATTTTCCATCCACTTATTATTTTTCAGTGTTGACATTGTGTCTTTTTACTTTCTGTACATTGTAAAGACTAAATAAACCTTATGTCAAATTACCACATTTTAGATGGAAATTAATTTATTTGAAGGGCTCTTTACCAGATATCATCGGTATTGGGAATATATTTGTCATTATTTCTGTCATTATTGTGTTTTACAGGATCCCTTGTGCACAATGTGCACAATCCCAATCCTTAGCATATTTTGACTTTTTTTTGTAGATTTGTATTTCTAAGTCGAGCCTGAATGTTTCATTGCTTTGAAAAACTAATTTGAACCTTTTGCATCAACACAACAAAGTTTATGACAGAAATCTTTCTGAGTCCCACTGACTCACATAAATGTATTTCTGCAGAACTAAAATCTGCTCTTGGTTCACGTGACCTGTCGATGGAGCAATTCACCATTTGCTTTTGCACTGAGTCCAACATTTCCCTCCGCTAAACATTTTGCATAGGAAGCTGCGGATCTCTTTGGACTGCAGGCCGTAGATGATGGGGTTGAGGCCCCCTGGCACAATGACAAACAGAATGGCAGACAGCTTCCTGTAGTCAGAGTATTCTGGGAAGCGGTGCAGGATGACGATGGTGTAGCCGCTGAGCGACATGATCAGATACACAACCAGGTGGGTGCTGCAGGTCTTCAGGGCTTTGCTGTTCAGGGACTTGCTCTTACTGGCCAGACACACTGCTGTGATCTTAGCATAGGTAATGACGATGCTGCCAATGGAAGCAATGAACAAAACCACAGTGAAGGCCAGCCCATAGATGTTGTTAACCAGCACGCTCTCACAGGACAGCTTGAACAGGGAGGCGTTGTCACAGAACGGGTTAGTGATCAGAGTCCTGCAGCGGCTCAGCCGAATGGTCAGACCCAGTAGGACCCCCACCAGGACAAAGGCCACCCCCCAGGCAGACGCCGTCAGCTTGATGATCATCCTGCTGGTCATGATGGAGCTGTAGTGGAGGGGGTGGCAGATGGCCACATACCTGTCAAAGGCCATAGCCATAAGCACCGTGTGGGAAGTGGTGCCGAACATGTGTGTGGTGAAGGCCTGGACCACGCAGGCATAGTAGCTGATGAGCCGCTCAGAGGGGGGCAGGAGCAGGTCTGAGAGCAGCCGGGGCAAAATGTGGGTGCTTCCAATGATGTCGCTGATGGTCAGGTTGCAGAACAGGATGTACATGGGCTGGTGCAGGTTTCTGTCCAGGAAGATCAGGAGCAGCATTCCCACATTCATGACCATGAACACCACATAGGAAAAGAGGAACAGGAAAAAAACAAGGTAGACAGAGTCCTCTGTGACCTTTAGCCCCTCCAGCTGCAGCGTGAGGCTGTTGTAAGTGTAGTTCTCCATCAGCCTGAAACCAGCACAACACCCGCAAAAACTTTTAAATGAGGTATTTACACAGAGAATAGCTTTGTTAAGCAGTGAGTTTGGCAGGAAGAAGCACTAGAGGGTTGTTCCTGCTGGTGGAACTGCACCTGCCAGCTACAGCCGAGTGGAGGGTTTTTGTAGATGCAGGTTTGACTCCAGGGGATGGTGCAGCCTCTGCAATATCTGATGCAATGTCTCTGTCTGGGCTCAGTTTCACTGACTGACCTCTCTCCCCTCAGCACAGGAAAGGGTTTGATTCAAATGCAGCTTCCTGTATGATCGCTGCAGCTTCGTGCAGATGTGGGATCCTGCTGGTTGTTTACACAAAAAGTCTGAAACTGACCCTGCAAGCAAAAGGCAGCTTCTGATCCCCAAAATTTCCAGATCTGACATCAGCAGAGAAACAGGGAACATAATCCATGCAAAATATGGAGGATTTTTATCCTTATTTCATCTACTCGTTTGTGTGTTAGGATAATTTTTTATGCCAGTAGCTGGAACCTGCTGTTTTATAGCAGCCATAAGCACTTTCGGTAAATCAGTGACTTAATAATATTTGGTCATTTTTCTCCATTTAATTGGTGCTTGTGGGTCATTTACTGGGGGGTTAGGGCTGTTTTCTTAAGTTGTTTTTCATGTCTCATTCTTAATTTGTGCTTCTGTGTCTCATGTCTCCAGTTCAACTAAATACTAATCCCAATAAATACTAATTCAGACTAATTATGGAGGATTTTTATCAATCTATTGACCACTCTTATGTGTGTTTAGGGGTTTCCATCTGGAAACAGGTCTGTGGCCTCAGCATCCATGAGGTAAAAACCATCTCTCTGACCCTAATCAGACCAGCTCAGTCCACCTTAAAAGAGCTTTGTGTTTTCTTTTTAACTTTGCTGAAGCACAATAATTTTCTCATATTAACATCTCCAGCTGTTTGAGCTCCGTAGAGAGTTCTCGGAGGATCAGACCCAGGTTTCCATGGAGCAGCCGGCAAAAGAGGGCCAACACAAAGTCAGATCATTTAAAGGAGGGCTGACAGTTACCACCCAGCCAGAGAAAAACCCAAGAAGAGGCAGCCAGGACTTCATGCTGCTGCGACTTCTGCTGACATCGATTGATGCTGCACTGGATTTCACTCCAGCTGAATGTTTTGGAGGTACCTGTTTTAGTCCCAGTCACTCGCTTATGTTAAATAAATCTGAACCGAAAGCTGCTTGTCGTTCGCAGACGCGCCCTGTCCTGGATGGAGAACCAGACCCTTGTGGCTCCTCTCCAGCAGCCCATCGTGTTTGAGCTGGAGGGCTTCGACGTGGCCCCGGGCCAGGGCCCCTTCCTGTTCCTCCTGGCTCTGCTGGCCTACCTGCTGGTGCTGCTGGGCAACGGCGTGGTGGCAAGCGTCATCTTGCTGGAGCGCAGCCTGCACAGACCCATGTTTGTGATGGTGTGCCACCTGGTGGTGTGTGACCTGCTGGGGGCCACGGCCGTGCTGCCCCGCCTCATGATGCACTTCCTGCTGGGAGAGAAGAGGATCGGCTACGCGCCCGCCATCGCCCAGGGCTTCTGCGTGCACACCTATGGTGCAGCGGTGCAAACCATTCTGGGGGCCATGGCCTACGACAGGTGCCTGA